AGATCTTGGGTAAATACTCAAGCAGTGGTCACACTGGTCTCGTATCTATTGTCGTGACGTAATAGCTCGCTGGCTCACACTTACGATGTCTCGCCCTTGAGATCAAATAACACGCTGGCTCGCACTTGGCAAAACTCTTTGACAGTCAACTCGCCCCCAGAAAACCCGCCCTTGGAAACTTGCCCCATAAATAATTGTAGACTTCCTAGATCTTGCAGTCTTCAAAATAAAAATTGTAACCCTTGGTAATCATCTACATTTTCCACATACATAGAAATTTTTGAAACTTTATTTTAAAAAACCTAAACCATAATTCACCACTATAGACACTTTTTGACAAAAATGAAAAATTACGACTTTGTCACCCAATGAGAAGTGTTCTAATATAGACAGTGGGTCGTGTCTCATATTTTTTGTTATATTTTTATTATTCATTATTTTCACTTGACTCGCATAAATAATTTTGTTCGAAGAACATTTATATGCAGTTGTACTTCGCAGCACTTCACTTGCAATTTGCAATTTCTAGTATAGGCTACTACTTACTAACGAAAAATGAAAGAATGTATAATGAGTGTTTCTGTTAGATTATAGTTTTGATATTCTTTTCTTTAGCTACAATGTGATGCATTTATTTATATCATTTTAATATTCGTAAGAAATAATCTTTTCTTTCTGTGGTTTGATGAACTGATTGATGGATTGGTATGGTTTGTTAATTCATGAATTATTGTTATTGATATATTCAAATTAAAAATATATATCTATATATATATTACTACAAATAAGTATGTTTCAGTGTGTTAATAATTTGCATAATTATTTTTTTTATTGTGAAAGACAAATTGAATGTGAAAATTCATCCAATGCTTAAGATTTCTTTCAATAATAGAATAATTATTACTCCTCCAAAATTTCTTTGGCAGGAGATGCATTTAGTTAGTGTTATGAATACATTAATATTTATGACTTTTACAGGATTTTAATGTAAAATGTTTTTAGTCCGTGTTTAGATTATGCTGCTGTACAATACTGTACATCCTTAAACAGTTGCTATGTTACGTTGCAAAAATATCATTTCACAGCATACTGCATATCTTGGATCATAATATATATGCCATGAAGTATTAAGAGTACCGATCCGATCATTGATGAACTGCCTTAAAATATTTTGTATAATAAAATTAATTTACCTTTATATATATATATATATATATATATATATATAAATTAATATTGATTAATGCACTATTGGTATTGATGTGTAAAAGAAAAAAAAATCAAATACTTTTCTCTATTATTTGAATACTTGTTTTACATTTTTTTTTCTTCTTTTGTATTATTTCTTAATTCGTACAAATGATTGTATTCTTATGAAAATTATATAAATAGTGGAAAAAGCAAAATATATTTTATATAATAAATATTTATATATATTTTAATACATTATATATTTTTAAATTTTGGTATAAAGAGAACACAAGGTTAACTTGGAAAAAATATTTGAAGTAGAAATATTGTACTGATGTTTGTTTAATGCTGATTATTTTTGAATAAAGGTGATGGTCATGCCACGAAAGAGAAAAAAATCTTTTCTTTCAGAATGACTACTAGCTTGAACCATTATAATAAAGTAATATTTTTTTGCGAATGTTATAAGTAAATGTGACAGACAAGTGAACTAAATTATTGCACAAAATTATATCTATAATGATACACTTTGTGTATATCACTGGAATGAGTTGAGGCCTTTAATTCGAAAAAGCATACATATAACCTCATTCATTACCTATAGATCTTGAGCATTACATAAACGTGTTAATTACTTTTATGCTAATGTGAGGTCAAATAATATGAGAATATCTATCTTATGGATAAAAATAGTTTCTTTTGATTTTACTGGTCCCAGCATCGTTCTGAATTTTGATGGTAATTTTCTTATTTTCAAATGTTTTATTTTTTTGTTTTGATTGGCTAATAACTTTGAATTAACTGTTTTATTTTATCTACCTCATTCTTTTGAGTGCTTGCATTTCGTCTTCAGTTTGGTTTGGTAGTTTGGATTTCATTAAAGCTACGTAGCCAATAAACACCAACTGCACGAAGACAATCTGTAAAAGTTAGTTTGTTAGTATAAAACAAAAGTTAGGCGAATACAATTTTTTGTTGCAAAACCACTAACAGTACGAGGGAAATCTGGTATAATCTGAAATAAATTGTTCATTCTAAATTGTTTTGAGTGCTTGCATTTCGTCTTCAGTTTGGTTTGGTAGTTTCCAAAGAGGAGCATGTATAACATAAGATACTGACAAGATTACTTAAGGAGACAAACATCATCAAGCATAATAATGATCTCTAAATAGTGGCTTTGAGACCACTTCTATCGCTTTCTCCTTCCACCCAGTTGTCGTAAATTATATGTTGATTAAAGGCAGCCTAATTTAGTTTGAGAGCAGCTGTAAGCTCATTCACCTAAAGTAGCCACTGAATGAGCGCTGAACCGTGGAAATCTCTCGGTCCAGTTCCCATCGCTGCTATCTCTTCTTGTATGGCAAGGTAATTAGGTAAGATAAAAGGTAAGGTTGGGATGGAGGGCTGAAATGAAAGTTACAATAGCACACCGTCCTTCGAGCGTTTAAGCCATTGGTCCCGTGTGCATTATGGGCCATGTGCACGTTAAAGAAGGCAGTACACACTTCTGGGAAAGAGTAGAGGATTGACTCTCGGTGTACTGCCCAATCACCACCAGAAGGGCCCTACTGGAAATAAGTCTTATTCAGACATGGGTTATCGTTGGTGTTTACACCGAATTAATCCATTCATCCATCTGTGTTCTTAAATAATAATAATAATTAAGGACTTTACCAGACTAGTGAGGCACACGGGAACAATGAAAGTCCATATGGCACCAGACTCAGTATTCAACCAGCACCTAGAAATAGTAAGAATCTGTCTCTTATACACATCTAGATGTGTATAAGAGACAGATAAGTCAGTTGTGACTTCCACTTTTCTATTTGCCTCTTTATAACTATTTTTTCCTCTTTTTTCAATTTCTCTGTTTCACCTCGCTAGCTAGTGTTGTCTGTTCCAGGTTAGGAAGCACCTGATCCCAGAAAAGATCAAGACATAACCGATGCTAACCGGTAAACACAGATCTCCGGTTGGCGGTGATGGTGTAACCACATACGTCGGTTCGGGTGCTAGCTTGGTGTTTATTGTTTTGTTTTGTTTGGTTTTTTTTCCGGCTTTTTTCTTTGTTTTCTTTACTTCAATATTGTCAAGCGCATAGAGACCTCGTTTATTTGCTCTATATAAACCCATCTTCTATTATTATTATTATTATTATTATTATTATTATTATTATTGTTAATAATAATAATAATAATAATAATAATAATAATAATAATAATAATGTTGTATTTATATAGCGCATATTGCACATTGCCCCTATGCGCTTTACAGAGAAATAATATAGGCCAACTGAGAAAAAGCAAATAACAATAAAATAAAATAAAAATAATCATAATAGCAATAATTACAATGAGACTAAACTACTCCTATTCCTTAAACTAATTAATGGTTGGCCGTTGACTCCGAGGAACTCATCCGCCCTTTGTTCAGCTATTGGTTTTTCTTGCTGTTGGGTGACCAAAACACCCTCCCCTCAGCAGCCACTAAGACATTTGAGAGGGTTGTCAGTTTAGTCGCCGACGCTTCGACCGAATGGAGTTTATATGTCGTACCCAGGACGTCCCTAATTACCTTAAGCTAGGCTTAACTACTCTTAAATACAGTATATTACTCTGAACTACAATTAGTTAAACTATCCCCCGACGGAAACCGTCCCGGTATTTAGCAGTTTGGGGGCCATTCTATAAACCATAACATAAGTCAGTTAAATACATGGCTTTTGAGAAGAGATTTAAATGTAATGATGGAAGTTGCATGTTTGATGTGTAATGGGATGTTATTCCAGTTGGTTGGAGAAGCAAATGAAAAGGCACAATTGCCATATGACTGTGTGAATGTTTTAGGGGTTGAAGAAGCCCGTTAGTGCTAGAACGTATTGTTCGCTTGGTGGTGTGATCTTGTATTAAGCATGTGATGTAATGTGGTACGTTGTTATGCCTGGACTTATATGTAATCAAAAGAATCTTGAAAATTATCCGTTGATGAACGGGCAGCCAGTGGAGTGAATGAAGAATTGGGGTTATGTGCTCATGGCGTCTGGTTTTTGTAACCAGTCTTGCAGTCGTTTTCTGTATGCGTTGGAGCTTGTTAATTTCAGATTTTGGAAGACCATACAAGAGACTGTTAAATAGTCTAAACGTGAGGTAACAAAGGCATGAATTATTATTATAATTATGATTGTTATTATTATTATTATTATTATTATTATTATTATTATTATTATTATTATTATTATTAATATTATTATTATTATTATTATTATTATTATTATTATTATTATTATTATTATTATTATTAATAATAATATTATCTTCACACACGTCATCTAACGGTTAGCATGATCCGGATTACAAACAACGCGCTCACCCGTGCGTTCATGCAAGGAAATCCAGATCAAGATGCCAAGAAGATGATGATTTGATTAAAATTGCCAACCGATAGCGCTCGCTAACCGTTAGTGTATCCGGGTCCTGGTCTAGGCTTTATTCGTGTTTACAAGCGCCGTATCGAAATTTGTTAGGTTCGCTATGTGCGTTCATATATTGGCCTAGCAACGAAATATTCCATCACGGATGTACGGTAGTAAAATCACCCCAGCTTTGAGCTTTTATGCACATGATACCCAAAAAATGAGAGGCACATATTAATATAGTTATTAGTTGGAAATAGGATCAGTTCAAATATAAGTATTGACGTCACCACTGACTTTTAACACATATTAATTCACTAGTTTTCGAAAATGAAGTGGTCTTCATCAGGTGAATGTACAAAATAGGATAATACGGTCATTAGTAGAACAATAAAAGGTGGAAAATGGGATAATGCTATTGAAATGTATTGAACCTCTGTTCTGAACTGAAGTAAAATGCTGAAGTAATAAACATTAAATTTACTCATCAGATGCGTAGTTAACATTTGTTATTCCAGCAGTCACCCCTACGACAATGGCGGGTCCAATCCAACCAATGTACCGACTGTACGAGAAGCGCCTGATATGATCCGCAAATGGATGTTTGATCTTCATGTATACATCGGTTGATATAATCATCATCCAGGAAAAAGCTGCCAAGAGACTGTAGTGCAGACAACCAGTAAGAACACTGCATACGATCTGTTATGAAAACAACGAAGCTGTCTGTTGCCATCGTATTTTTCAAATTAAGGAAAGTTGCGTCCATGATCATATTTAAATATTAAATATATTGGTTAAACTTATGAAAATGTATTTATGTGTAAAGAATGTATATCACTCATGACACGCGATAGCCTAATAAGATATATACAAATAAAAAGTTGTTTGTTTCACCCAGCAATACATACA